CAGAGCTGTGTGGGCAAAAAGTTTAAAGTCAGCCAGGCTTGGTGGCACATACCTTTAATCTCAGCACTCTGGGAGGCAGGGCCAGGCAGATCAATGTGAGAGAGGCCAGCCTGGTCTATAAAAAAGTCTACACAGTCAAGGCTACACAAAGGAATCCTGTCTAATAAATAAATAAATAAATAAGCAAAAAAACCCACAAATAAACAAAAGTTTAAGGTCAATGATGAGAGAGAGGCAGGTAAATTAAACAACATCCCATACTTCCCCACCAATCAAAATTGGAGGCTATTGATTGTTGGGGCTGCAGCCTACTTAGCTGGCACTCGCAGAGCTCTGGCTTCAAATAAACAACAAACTATATCTGGAGAGACAACTTCCATGGTGATGAGCACTGGATGCTCTTCCATGGGACGTGGGTTTGATTCCCAGCAGCCATATGGCAACTGACAAGTATCTATAACTTTGCAAGCACCTGGTACAAGTGGTGCACATACATACATTTGGACAAAACACTCAAAAACATAAAAGTAAAAATAAATAATTTATTTAAAAAACAGCCTATAACAAACAAACTAAGAATTCTGAGGTGAAAATTAGTTGAATGTGGTGACAAACACATTCAATGCTAACTCAATTCTGGGCACAGTGCTAGAATGATTTTGGTCAAAAGGCCAAGTGAAATATTTCAGTTGCAAATAGAAGCAGAAGGACCGGGAATTTAAAACCAGCCTGGAATAAAAAAATGCAAAAGGGTGGCTGGGTGTGGTGGCCCACGCCTTTAATCCAGCACTTGGGAGGAAGAGACAGGTGGATCTTTGTTAGCTTAAAGCCAGACCAGTCTACTTAGAGACAGACTCAACACAGCCAGGCCTACATACAGAGACACTGTCTAAGAAACAAAACAAACAAAAGAGAAAGGCCTTGGGCTAAGAGTATAACTGAAGTAGGGTAGAACAGGTGGCTAGCATGGTGGATACCCTGCTCTAGATTCCCAGAACAGCCAATAAGGAAAAAAGGAAGGGAGACAGGGAGGGAAGAGAGAAAGTGAGACAGAGGAAAGATTGCAGGGCAAGCCAGAAGGAAGGAACTCATAGGCTCCAAGAACACACCAACAATTCAGTATTTCTCTCTTAATGATAAGGTACATGGAAAGCCATCACCATCTTTGTACTGATGAAGGTTCCTACAGGACCTGAATACCTGACCCTTCCAGGACTACAGCCCAGAATTCTCCAAGCACTGAGTTTTTGTCTTGCCTCCTGTGTGTGGCAGCGAAGACAGGTGGTTGAACAAAGGTATCTCTCTTCAAAAGCTACTAGCATCTAGTAATACCTGAGCTGGGTGTGGAGGCAGGGCATACTTGAACCATCTTTTAGCTTATTCTTCACTATCTCCGGACTTCTGAAAGGAACCAAACAGCCCTTATCTCAGTTCCTTCGACTTTGCTGCTGCCTAGTTACCCAGCCTGGGGTGATGCCTTTAACCCCAAGCTGTTTTCCTAGTCTTAAAAAACTGATGCTAATAATAATCTTAGCTTATGGGATTGCTGGGAGGTAAAAATGAAATAATATATCTAAAGCATGCAAAACTAACCTGAATATGGTGAGACACACTTATAATTCTAATACACAGGAAATAGACTATTATTTCAAGGCCAGCCTAGGCTATAACAGCCTTACTCATTAAAAAAAAAAACAAAAAACAAAAAAAAAACAAAAAAAACCAAACAAACAAAAAAAAAAACTCCATATTGGCTGGACATTTTCTTTTAAGTATTCTGTAGAGTTGTGGACAACACAAAGATAAAGAATAAGCTTAGCCTGCTAAAGAAGTGGAAAGTCACTGCCAAATTAGTGTCTTATTAGTTACTATGACTACAGAATTGTTCCTTAGAGCGCTTGGTTCCAGAGAAGCAAATCAGGTCATCCATGACCTACCAAAGAACTCAGAAGATCTAAAGCCGTACTGCCCAAATCCCCCAGCTGCTCTGATTTCCAAAGTGACATATGGTCAGGCATGGCTAGTACTCTGGTGGCAGAACAAAGGATTCACCTTCTATAAAACATAGAGCTTCTGATACATTTTAGAGAGATGCAGACATGATTGTCAGCAGGACTCTGCTGAGGCTAATCTGATTTTCTTTTTCTGATATTTAGTTTTTGAGACAAGCTTCACACTGTAGTTCAAGCTAGCCTCCAGCTAAGGCTGACTTTGAACTCATGGTAATCCTCCTGCTTCAGCTTCTCACACGCTAGGGTTATAGGCATGAACGACCACACCTAGATTCAAAGGTATGTATATGCATGTGTGTGTGCGCGCGCGTGCGCACCTCATGAGATAAAGAATATGGCAAATCATGCCTGAAAAGGTCAAAGCACAATGTCAGGATATTCATTCTCTTCTTCTACCACGGGTTTCAGTAGGTCATCAGACTTACTGGGAAAGCACTTGTAACGGTGGAACCATGTCTACAGCCTGGCTACTCTTATTGCAGATTGTTGTGGCCAACATAAACATGAGAGACACCATGGAAGATAAATCCTGGTCTCATAGTGATATCACAAACTGACATTAGGGAGAAAAATGGGGAGGGAGGGCGGGCAGCAGAGTGGAGAATGTGAGAATGTTATATCTGCGACCAACTAGAGGAGGGAAGAAACAATAACAATGAGCCAGCGCATGGAAAGGCCATGTGGCATCTGAAACATATCAAGGTATAGCCATTTGCTGGCTTTCAGCTACCACCTTAAAGGACAGGGACCACCACAACAGCAGTTTATGTGCCAACATGAATGAGGCAAATTTCACAAAGCCTTACCCCTTGATAAAGAGCTAATGACTGCTGGGAGAGAAAGAATCAATCAGTTTTCTCTATGAACAAGTTTCTGATAGGTTATCCAATCCCAAGTGGTCACTTCTAAACACATATACACACAAGCAACATTAAATGAATTCAGCAGGCTACATTTATACATACTATATGTGTGTGTGTGAGAGAGACAGAGTGTGTGTATGTAATTTAAAAAGAAGTTAGGAATTTTAGAGGGGGCTAGGGGGTCACATCAGGAGTTGCAGGGAGGAGAGAGGGGTAAAAATAATTCAAATACTATACCCATTATTATTAAGGATAGAGCACAGCAAATATCCAAGGTCTTTAGTTTCCCCAGGAAAAGGCTGGTTCACCTTTACTATGAGCAAATTCAGGGCCACTTGTACAAAATGACAGAGAAGGCAGCTATGGTCCAAGAGAGTCCACAACCGAGGTGCCTCAGGACAACACCTAGATCAGAAGACAGACAAAAGGCCCCGGACATGACAAACACAGGCCTCAGAAACCAGGCCTTCTATGTTAAAAGAGGACAAGAACTGGATCTGTGTAGATGGTAAGAACTCAGCAGGCTTTCAGAGAAGCAATCACTCAAATCATCAGAAACATTAGAAAAGAAAGACCTTTCCAGCTCTGAAAACTGCTGCCACAGAAGCAGATCAGGATGAGTCAGAGGTGGTTGTTAAAAGAGAGGAAAATCAATCAAAAAGAAAGAAAGAAAGAAATTGATTTCTTCTACTTTTCAAGGGAAGCTGGTTGATGCAAACTTCTGTACTCGATGGGTAAAGCAGCAAAAAGCAGCCACCCTTAGCCAGGAAAAACAAGGCAGGCCCATACAGTCACTCCCTAACGGTGGTGGTGGGATTCCAGAATGATAGACCAGAACCCTAAGCCAGCCTTAATGTCTCACCAAATCCATCATGAACCTAGTAGATCTCAGAAACCATTAGGCATACCCTCACCTCCAAGATGTAGCGAGCACGTTTCCAGCACTGGAGAGCAGGCCACCTCCAGGTTTTTCCCAGTCATGGATTCCATGATTCCATGTGTGCTTCAGCTTTCGTGACAGTTTTGCTCCTTATAAATCTCTGAGTTAGTCCCACTTGGAGTTCCAGGGCCAGATCACAAACCCTTTCCCACTGGCTGGAGCTTCACAAGGCCTAGCTATGACCACAAGACCTCAGCAAGTGAACAAGCCCTGACTTGTCACTGCCCATATGCAAACAGGCCTGCAACATCCTACCACATGCAGTTCAACAGACTGAAGACTGCATCCTTAGTCCTCCCCAACAGACACACAGACACAGATACACACAAACACAGACTCGCCCCCCCCCCACTTTTCCATGGCTTTCTCTAGGCCAAATGACAACAGCCCCTCAAAAGCACAAGAGCAGAAAGAAAACAGAGACCTTACCTTCTTCTCCCTACACCTTAAGTGATTTCTCTCCTTCTTAATCTTCGAGAATGTCCTGAAGTCAAGAGCTCAAAAGAATGAACTGTCGAATGTCTGTAAACTAGTAGGAAGATCCATGATGTGCTACACACGGGCACATGTAACTTCAATGGCTGCGCTTCCTGAAAGCCTGCACTGCTCTTCCACACCACACCACACCATGGGTACAGCAGAAAAATATTAGCCAAGGAAGAGCCAATCTAGTTAAATCAGCAACCCATCCAAAAAGAATTAGCAGTGAGGGGGGCCTTCCACAAACACAGGAATGCAATACAAAAGCAGAGAAAGTTTCATGGCACAGGGAGTTTTAAGATCACCGTCTTTCTGCCCCAGGGGGTGTCTCAGAGGAGGGCTGGCCAAGGATAGAGGGAGCATCACTCGATTCAGACTTCCAGTTTCGCAAAGGAGGTCTCCAAACCACATCAGCGGCCCCAAATCTGCGCTGATTGCAGGGGGCGTCTCTTTTTAGACATGAGGAAACGGGCTTTTGATCAAGTGCATAAATCCAGAATCACCTCTATGCTAGGGCCATTCTGTGTAACCTCCCTCGCACTCCCACCCCTCACCCCCACCCGAACTCTCTGGCAGTCTCTAGTCCAGTGATGAGGAAAGGTGCAAGGCCAACACGCGCTTGTCGGAGTGCACTAGCCCCGTTCCTCTATCCAGACTGTGCATCCCTGGGCTCCAGAGTTTCCAGAGGATAAACTTGGAACTTACGGGAGGGTGGATCCGGCCGTGACTCCCAGGTCACCGGGGCTGCCAACATCCTTTCCGCGTGGATATCCACTCAGGGGGCTCTGAGGGTGCTGGGTCGCAGCTCCTCTTCATCCTGGCCTTGGGGAGTCCGCTCGACCAGCGGGTCCATGTGCTCGGCAGCCGCACGCGCTCTGCCCGGTGGAGCGCAGGGCTGGCGGGTGGCCTGTGACGTCACGCCGGCTCGCTCCCGGCCGCGGGGGATGGGGAGAAGCGCGCGCCACCGGGCGAGCCGCGTGTGTCCCGGGTCTCCTGGAGTCTGAAGGACTCCGGCCTGAAGGGTCCTGCTAGCTTCCCTCTGCCTGCTGTTCCAAGCCATGAAAGGCACCACGCCTGAGAGGAGGACCGCGTGGAGGTGGGGTGCCACTCAGGCTGCCTAGTGCCCAGATGGCTCTATTAGAGAGCACACTCAGTCTACCCTGGGCTGGGGGTTCTGGCCTTACTTACCCCTAGGTCTCGAAGCCAGTGGCTACGCCCAGGAGTTGTCAACTGGCTTTGCTCCACTGTTCCTCTCTAAGGCAGACGCCCCATCCCCCTTCACCTTGAAGCCTAGCAATCTTCCCACTTTTCAGAAAGGGAAGGAGACTCCAGTGAAGTAAAAGAACCAAGATGCTCAGAGATGAGGTCATCAGTTCCCATAAAGGAAATCTGAATCTTTTCTAACTCAGATCTGAGTTACCCCTGAGAGTACCCTGGGTACCACACAGCGTCCGCAGTTCTGGCGAGAAGGACGCACGCACTAAGCCAACCGGAGCTGAGAGAGGACCACCTGTCTGTACAGCATCCTCCATGCTTGCCCCAAACAGGGCATTAAACTAACCTCTCGAATGTCCAAAAGCTTCTCCAAACAAAGAAAGCTGGTGTGAGTGGTACCCTGGACCTTCTTTTCTCTATATTAAATCCGGTACTGAACAGGTGCAAAAAGACCCTACCTCCATTCAGTCCAGCGTGGCACCCTGCTCCAACCGAGAAGAGGAATGAAAGATGAGGCAGACTCAGACCCCAGAAGGAAACCTGAGTACGGTGGAAAGTGGGACGCGTGACTAGGTGATATCATGACCGTGGAAAGTAATTCGGGCCCACTCTTCGCCCGGCACAGTGCGCCTCACATTACTTCAACCTCTCAGTCTTTTTCTCCTCCGTCCCTCTGTGTTGCCTTCAGTTTCTTTTCATTGCTTCTTAGCCACACGAACATGTCTCTGCTGAAAAGAAATTTTCTCTTTCTTGTATGCGGCAGTGCGATATGCTGTGTCTCCATTACCTCTGGCGCTAGAGAGCGAAGATGGTTCCGAATTCTACGTCTGTATAGGGTGTTGTAGGCGCGGTAGATGCTCTGGCATCTCCCAAAGCACCTGCTGCGAACTTGGGAAGCTGCAAACAACAGGCTCTCAGAGGCCGGGTATTCAAGGACAACCTCAGCACTAAATCCCTACAGATGCCATCTGTTCCTCCTATGAGTCCTACACACCAGAACCGCAACAACGAAAGACCTTCAGCCACGTTCGACCCCATTTGCATTCACTGTGACCGAACCCTGCTGTGCTAATCTTAGACTCTTTTCCCCCCAACATAATATTTTTGCTCTTTGGGAATTTCACATGATGTACCTCACTCACACTTCCCTGTCCTCCCAGGTCCACAAAACACCCTTGTAACCTCCTCCCAGTAAAAATGATCCAAATGGTGTTGGCCATATAGTCCCCGGAGCACGGCCATACTCCCAGGGGCCAGCCAGACCCTTAAAGAAAACCAAGTCCGTGCTCGCTTTGGCAGCACATATACTAAAATTGGAACGATACAGAGAAGATTAGCATGGCCCCTGCGCAATGTTGACACGCGAATTCGTGAAGCCTTCCATATTGAAAGAAAGAAAGAAAGAAAGAAAGAAAGAAAGAAAGAAAGAAAGGAAGGAAGGAAGGAAGGAAGGAAGGAAGGAAGGAAGGAAGGAAGGAAGGGAAAGAAACCAAGTCCTTCCGCACCCCCTCCAGAAGCCATCAGTTGTGCCGAGCTATGCTTCACCATCCTTATCACAATTTTTAAGCGTTCTCTTCACTGGCTTCCTGTCTAGGCTGTTATTGGGGGGGAGGAGGGAAGAGATAAAGATTTTTTTATGGAATGTTTAAATTTCTTTCTTGTAATATTTCACAGAAAAAGCTATTTTTTCTTTTCTTTTTTCTCTCCTTTTTCTTTCTTTTCTTTTTTCTTTTTCTTTTTCTTTTTCTTTTTTTTTTTGGTAATTTTGTTTTAAAGTGACATTCAGGACAGAACTAGACTGTAGCATGCAGGAAGCATTTGGCTACATGACTTGAAGACAAACCTTGTATGCATAAGCTCCTAACTCAAAAGTAAATAAGTCAAATAATTAATAAAAATTTAAAAGGAATTTTTTTTCTTCATAATAGTAGGCTATATGTATATATATAGTAAAAAATAAATTATAAAAATACAGAAAATATAAACTATTAGCTAGGGGCAGCTTTCAGGATTATTAATAAAATCTAGAAATTAGTTTCAGCACAGACAGATGATTTAGACACATGAACTGACACACTGCTGAAGCTGATAAATGATGATTCATTTATCTTGAGTGTGATACTTCAAACTCTCAAACGCAGTGTTTGTTTCTCTTTAATTTTTAAGCATTTATTCATTTTTGTTTGTATGTGTGCAGGTATGTTGTCATGGAGGTCAGAGAACAACTTTGGGGGAAAGGGGTGTTCTCTCCTTCCCATCATGTGGGTCTGGGGAGGGGTGTGGCTAACTGAAGAAGTCAGGCTTAGCAACAAGCACTTTTTACACTCTGAGCCATCTTGCCAGTCCCCTTTCTTTCCTCCCTTCTTTCCTTCTTTCTCTCTCTCATTCTTTCTTTCTTAAAGAAAACTTGTATTGCACTTATTTAAGTTACAAAATGAAGGTTTTAAACCTGGGTGTGGTGGCAAAGGCCTTTGATCCCAGCACTTGGGAGGCAGATGCTGGTAAATCTTTGAGTTCAAGGCCAGCCTGGTCTACAGAGCACAGCCAGAGCTACACAGAAAAACCCTGTCTCAGAAAAAGGAGGAATAGGAGAAAGCTTGGATTATATTTATCTATGTGCAAAGGTCACAGACTATATATGGCTGTCAGAGGACAACTTGTAGAAGTTGCATCGCCACTTCCAGCACGTGGGTCCCTGAGTCTATACTCCAGGTATCAGAGTTGACGATGAGCACGTTAACCTGTTATGCCACCTCCGCCATTCTTTATCTTCCTTCCTTTTGCTCGCTGGGTTTCTACTCAGGACCTCACGCTGGTTGTCGAGGGCTCTATTGCTTTTTTGTTGTTGTTTTTAAGGAGAGGAGTGGACTACCACAGAACCAAAACAATGGCTACATTTGAAATATCTCTTTATGACATGACACTCATGCAGGGACTCAGTAATGTGAAGATGAAGAAAGGCAGACTGAAGCTCTGGTGGCGAGTGTCATCGTCATTGATGGAGAAAGTGGGCAGTCTTCCTCACGGTGTCCGCTCATTCCCCCTTCATTCCCCTGCTGCTTGTCAGTGGTAGTGCTGTCTTCATGCTGCCACCCTCCATTCATTCCACACTGTAATTTCCATGGCAGCCATCAAGGGGCCTAGATTTAAAGATATCCATGTTCTGGACCAGTCCTTCCTGTCTCTACATCTGCCTTGCTATCCAAAACCTCCATTCCATCATTAGACAAGACTGAGATTCTCCTATATTAAGAGACAGGAAATCCATCTCAAGAGATAGAGAGGAATGGAGACAGAAGGGAATCAACTCTATTTAATCTAACTCAGGAGAAGAAGCCAGACTAGAGGCTAGATATTGTTCCAGGAAGAGAGAAGAGCAGTGTCAAGGTCTGGAGGTGCCCGAGAACAAGGTGACCAGTCAGTCAGTCATTCAAGGTTCATTGAATAAGACAGGCCAAGAGTTGCAGACAGTTTTATGTTAGGTTAAAAACCATGTTTTTTGAGCTGACTACCCTGACTTCAGAATCAGCTCCATAAACATCTGTGACTCCATGAGGGAATCAATGGCTCTTGTGAGAGAGCAGGAAGAGAGGGCTTGGATCCAGATGTGGAAGCACTCAGAGAGGCCTGTATTTGGCAAAAGCTGAAAAGAGAGGAGGAGCCTGTTTCTGAACCTTGGAAAATGAAGTTGAGTTTCCAGTTTGCCAGAGAGGCATCTGAGCAAAGAGAACAGTCTGTAGGGAATCAGAAACTAGGGTACAAACTCACTATGAAAGGTTAAGCTGTATTCCAAGAGGCGTCACGTCCCATGCTGAGAGTTTCGCCTTTGTCTTGAAGATCTGTGAGCAGCAGTGAGTCTTACAATACCCTGTCCCCAAGAAACATCACCCAGCTTGTCATGAGAGAATAGATTTCAGAACAGTGTAATCCAGAAGCAAAGAGTTCGGTTAGGAGTTCATGGCAGATGGCTGTATTGGAAAGGTCACCTTGGGAATACAGAGAAGGACAAGACATGGAGAACATTCAGAAAAGCAAACCTATGAGATAAACAAGGATGAGGGCAGTTGGGAACAGGAATGAGTGCCAGGTTCTGCACCTCAGAAGCTGGGGATTGGTGGGATGGTCATTTAGATGTGATGCAAAAGAAGAAAATGAAAATAATAATAATAATTATTATTATTATTAGAGGGAGGAAGAGAGAGAAGAAAGAAAACAAAAGGAAAAGGAAGAAGAAAATGTAGCTATAGCTACGAGTAAGTAGTGGAAGTCCTCTCCTGTGAGCTATTAATAGTTGATAGCATATCAGCGGGTTGCTAGCCTAGGTGCCTTTAGTGCATGAAAGGAGTCTCAGTAGAAAATACCATCTGTCTGTCTTTGAAAGAGTCATTATATAACCCAAGCTAGCCTGGAACTCCCGTGCCCAAGAACGACTGAGATAAGTTCTGCCAGGCTTTCAACATCAGACAAGGTCCAGGTGTTTGGTCGGGCATGGGCATAAGCTGGTATTGAACTCTTCGTGCTCCTGCCTCAGCCTCCAGAATGCTGGGATTACAGTCACGTGACACCATTTCAAACAAGATAATCATTCAGTAGCGGCTAAGATGTTGGGTGGTAATATTCACACACAGGTCAGGATGATGATTTAA